GATTTTTTTGTCTCTGATCCGTTTCATGTTTATCAGATATTTACGCACTATACGAGAATCATGTACATACACATCGGGTTTCACTATCCTCTAAATATCATCTCATCCCTCTTCTCATGTCAATTATCGTTAAATAGTACAAGGTTTGTCGTACTCTGCGCGTATACGGGGCATAGAAACATAAAAACTATACACCTTTGTTTCACTTTTTTATCTTCAACTGGCTACCTAGGTAACTCTCTAGTCCTTTTTTGGGAAGTGCGAGACCCACCTCCGGGCCGGCCCAGTCTAGTTCTACAAGGTGTTCGAAGATGATCTGATAGACAAGCTTAACGGTCAGGCTCGCTGGATTTATGAATATTTGTATGTTACATAGTATATGAAGTGGGGGGTCTGGTCAAGCTAGGCTGTGTCCGTCTCCAAGCCGTAGTCTGCATTTTCTCGGGATGCCGATAGATTACATCGTCGGATATCTCGGTCCTGTTCTCGGAATCTGTCGTCTTTTGAGGCAATTCCACAAGGAATCGAGAAACAAACCACAAGTCGTAAAAAACTAAACATTGGCTGATCCACCAGACTAAATACCCGGGGGCCAACGTGTGGGCCAGTACATCCCACCAAATACAAACCACCGAGAAGGTCTTGCTTGGCCTTATTTTACCACTAAGTCCCTAGTTTCTGTATCAATTTATCTGTAACATGGATTAAGATAGATCCTTACCGAAAAGAGAAGACACCCCCAAATCCTTACAAACGAAATCTGCCTTGAAGCCTTAGACGTCATATGTAACTTGGTATTGTTATGGATTATCGTTGCTTTTAGAGCAGACCCCTAGTGCCACCAACTTTTGTATTTATTCAGATCCCCTGGGCAAATTTGGAAAGTAAATCAATTCCCAACTCCGACTCCTTTTCTTCCCCTCTTCTGACCTTCTAAGCACCCTACTTTCCAATCTAGCCCCATTGCCCACGGTAATGAAATGGAATCACTCACACGTACCAAACAACCCATCGCCATCCGTCCGGAACATGTTGCTTCATCAACTACAACAATTCAGGTGAAACAACATAGCGCGAGCTGGTCAAGCGGCAACTTCACAATTTCAAGCACTTCAACTGCCGAAGAACCTCTTTTAAACAAGCTCTTTAGCGTCGACGGTGATATTGCGTCATGGTCTCAGCGACGACATTTTTGCGACGCCTCAGGTCTTCCCCTTTTTGACATATCTCGGAAAAAGGCGGGGGTAACATGGTACCTTCATCTGCCCGGAGAGAGCAGCAGTAAAGGAACCGCTTCTGAGCCTATTGCTACAGTTGTACCGAAATGGAGTGCTCTCAAAGACAAGTTCGACGTTCATCTTCGTAATGCTGCTGCAAATGGAGAAGAGACAATACTGGAGGTTCGCGGACAGAATGTCTGGAAGTCAAAGACAAATGTTTATCACCGGGGTAATTTGGTGATGATCGTAACATTGACGGATATGGCTGCGGTATACCTACCCGGAAAACGACCGTCATGGGAAGTGCTGGTGGCAGAAGGGGTGGACCTTTCACTAGTAAGATGACCTAATCTCTCCCCAGAGAGTCTATAGCGTCGACAGGAGTTTCTAACACTTGAAAGGCCTCGGTTATTGCTGTTCTGCTTGCGACGATGTTATACCAGAGCAGTGAGGCACCACCAAACACCCTCACGAACTCGAGTTACTGATTCTCTAAACAGGCGGCAAAGGGAAAGCGCCGGTGAGCAATGATGAGGGAAACAATGGATAAATTCGAATATGAAGACAAAGTCGAAAAGTTGGCGTAGACAGACAGTACCAGGGCCACATGAATATGCTAGCTCGTTGAAACCAGGAGTAATATCTAGAGACACCACATGTTGGAACAAATAGATAATCTATTTCGGGGTCCATTCTGGAGGGATAACACCTGCACCAGGTGCTAAAGACTTAGATTCAGAGACGGAGGATATAGGCATAGGTTGTCATATATCTCACTGGGGGCTGGGGGTCGCATGGGGCCAACTCGCGTGAAACATACTTGTCTCAACTCATATTATGATCATTACTTTTGAATCGGGTACATTTTGTGTATGCCGCGTGTGTTAAAGCTACAGTGAAGTGAAGAATGTGAAAACTATATAGATGACAACAATTGCCGGCAACTCTGGCGAGACCAATGCCTTGACTAAAGCCTCCTCCATGATTGCGGGCTACGCACCCCTGAAGTCTACCTACGGATTGGACTCAGGTGGTATTAGTGTCTACAGCCCAACCATCTCCTGGGACTTTGGTGTTGAAGCGTTGACACAGATGATGCAACTACTACGGCCACTATCTGAAGTCCATCTTCCTTTGTTCCTCAAGTTATATTGTGCATAAATTGGGTGTGCTTAATACACAGCTCTAAACAAATGCTACTTGTAAAATAAAATAACCAGGAATATCAAAATCAGATGCTCAGGAACAGTTTCTACAAATGTCCTAATTATCCGATTCATTCTATTTGCCGGAGAATGTGGGGTTTCCCCACACAATTCGGGGTAACATCACCACGAAACACCGAGCTTATCGAGAAATCCACCCACCTTGCCCCAGGTGAGAATTATCGGAATTATGAGAATTACAAAGGACAGCTCTCCATTTCCAACATCCCCAATGTCTTTCCCACAGTTACTAGTTGGTAAAGTCGCCGCCATCACCGGTGGCCTCACAGGCATTGGACGGGTATGGTTTCTCATCTCCGGATTTAAATGCATTAAGGGAAAGAAAAAAAAAAACTAAGATGTCACAGGCAATTGCCCTCGATTATATCCGCCACGGAGCTAAAGTCTCCATCAGTCACCTCGGCGGCGGAAAGGAAGATGCACTACTAGAAGCACTACGCAAAGACGTGAACGAGATCGAACCTGAAGCAGCCAAGACCCGATTCCTCACGGTATCGGGCGACATTTCACAGCCAGAAACAGGCCAGAACTTCGTCGCAAAGACTGTCGAGGCATTTGGTCGACTAGATGTATTCGTGAGCAACGCAGGCGTGTGTCAATTCGCCGAATTCCTGGAGTGAGCCATACCCTATTTATCATTTACAATCCCACCCCTCTTCTCCTCTCTAACGACCCCACCAGACTCGAACCCTCCCTCTTAAACCACACAATCTCAACAAACCTCTCAGGCGCATTCTACGCCACCCAAGCCGCAGCCCGCCAAATGGCACTGACCCAGTCTCCATCGGGCGGCTCCATCATCGGCGTGAGCTCCATCTCCGCTCTAGTCGGCGGTGCCCAGCAGACACATTACACACCCACCAAAGCCGGTGTATTGAGTCTCATGCAGTCCTGTGCGTGCGCGCTTGGCAAATATGGTATTCGGTGTAATGCGCTGCTGCCGGGGACTATCCGGACGCAGCTTAATGAGGAGGATATGAAGGATCCTGTTAAGCGGACTTATATGGAGGGTCGGATTCCGCTGGGTAGATTGGGCCAACCGCGGGATTTGGCTGGGCCGGCTGTTTTCTTGGCTTGTGAGGAACTGAGTGGTTATGTGACTGGTGCGCAGCTACTGGTTGATGGTGGGTTGTTTGTTAACCTGCAATAAGGGTATATATATATATATATGTTTTTCATTTTGGAATCCCCGGTTACTTATTCATAAATATACGCATTTCAAGATCAAGTGGCTTTACATTTCCATTCATAGAAGCTCTAGATCTCTATACCGTAAGCATGCAAAGCAACGGATCCCCATACACCCCTCTTTTGTTCTTCAGACAATCCTCTCCGTTCTAGAATCTCCTCCACTACACGTCTCCATCTGCCCCAAGAAACATCATTCCCACCACCACCAACGTTACACACCGGCCAGTCAGATCCAAACATAACACGGTCCGCCCCGAAAGCATCAAAAACCACATCAGTCCATGGCTGCACGCGCTCAACAATTGCCCCAAAATCCGGTTCCGACTCCGCCTGCAGCGGCAGAAGCTCCGAAAACGCCCCAGAAAGCTTCATATAAGTCCTAGGATTCGCCCTCGCCATCTTAGTCACAAGATCCTTCCACTCAAGGTATTCGGGGTGAGAGTGAATATCATCCACCAAACGAAGGTTAGGTTTGCACAAATGGTCTATCGATGGTTAGCAAGAAGAACCCCAACTCTGAAATCTCACCACGGGAAAACAAAACAAAAGAAAAAGACCTACTAATAACAATCGTCACCGGCCGGTCCCCCTCCAACTCCCGATAAACCAACCCCAACATCTCAACCGCCTCCCTCAACTGTCCCAGCCCACCAGACCTCGCATCAACCCCAAGGTCAAAAACAAACCCCTCCCTCCCCAACCACCTCAAACCCTCCACAAACCCATCCCCAAGCATCGTCCCTGCTACCTTATCCTGCACCAGATACCTGACCCCCCTGATCTTCCCCCAAACCACCTCCCCAGTGCGACCACGGACTTGCTCCATATACGCGCTCAACACATCCGGTCCACCGGGAACAGGCGCCCACGGCACAATCCCCAGACATAGAGCTTTGTCCTGTGGGATGTGGCCCTCGCCTGGAATGGGTGTGCCGAGGGCTATGCGTGTTAGGAGGGAGACTTCGTCTAAGGTGTGTTGCCAGCCGTGGTTTGGTGGGGTTGAGTCGGTTATTGAGGAGAGACGATCTGTTTCGAGGAATATAAAGCCCAGGATGGGGGTGTTGGATTGTGTTGTTGCGTGGCAGTATTCATTTACACTGTGTTGCGTGCCTAGAGGGTTGTTGACGTTGTGCCAGGATAGGGTTTTTAGGTGTGTTTCTGGGAAGAGGTGGATGTGGGAGTCCACGATTGGGATTTGGGTTGGTGTCATGGCTTTGGGTTATGTAGCTGAGTGTTGTTTTTTTGGCTGGTGTGGGGTTTAGTTGAGTTGTAGAATGAAAAGATGGGGATGTGGGGTTGGTTGTTTGTATGAAGTACTCTTAATGTCTGGCTCTGGGGGGTTTTTTTAGTGAGATTTCCATAGGCAGTGGTATTTGCGGGTGATATTTGCGGGGAGAATGGGAAGACCCTTAAGTGCAGGGAGCTAAAACTCGGTGGTTCTTGTCCCGAATCTAGAGCTTGGTGGAGACAGTAATTCCAGACATAAAAACAGGATCAAAACTGTTATTGGCTATTGAATTCCACGTAAATTCTACAGAACACTACACCATCGGAGAGTAATGCTATACATAGGACAGAAAGAAATTCATATGCACGAGCAAGGATCAGGAGTATACATACACCAAGTGGATAACACCACAAGGGCAACAAAGGGAATGCATCAGAGAACATAAGAGGAAAAACACAGCAACAGTAACAAAGGCAAGGTAAAAGGCATGTGAACAACCCCTTCTGCGGTAAAACAGCAGAAGGGACAGGGTATGTATGCATGCATGCCTAAGAGGCATGCAGTAAAAAGTTTAAGTTCAAAAGGAGAAACAAAAGACAAGAAAAAAAAGTAAAGGTGACGTTCCAAATTGCAACTTGCCAGGTCGTCTTCGCCATGATCAGGGGGCAACGAAGGCGTGAGTAGAATGTCATGCCATAATGCATGTTTTCCCTCAGCACGCTGATATACTGCTCCCAGTTCGATCTATACAAGGTTTCCTCTGCATTCACAAATCCACAAACCTAATCATCCATAGGCTTGTCCTCCAGAGTGACTCTGTTGGGCTCACTTTCAGCGATGCTGCTTCGGTTGCTGTCCGTGCCACTGGCCGCGACAGCCGAGCCAGTAGGAAAGCTAGACAAGCTACCAAGGCCTGGCTTGCGGCTGGATCGAGCACCAGAAGAGCGGGACATAGAATTGCGCTTCTCGAACTCAGCAGATGCTGCAGCTGGAGTAGGGGTAGGAGTTGGAGAGTCATCGGAGGCTGTTTCGGGAAGAGAAACAGGAGGGGGGCTGGGGGAGCTCGAGTGGGCGCTGGTGCTGGTGCTGGCAGCAGCCGAGGCAGGAGACTCGGTATACGTGCCGTTGGTAATAGGCTCGGCAACTTGGGTGTTCACGACAGGAGCATCCTCAGCTCCAGGCTGGGGAGTCTTGTTGGCTGGTACATCTAGGCTATCGCGGGTGGATCTGCGGTCTGAAGGGCTGTTCACGTTGATCGGGAACCGGCCTATCTCCGAAGCACCGCTCGAGCGGTCACGTCGGTGCCGTTGGCGATTGGCGGGACTGGTTGCCCGGCTGCGGTTGACAATAGCTCGCTGGCGGGCCTCCATCGCCGCACGACGGTTACTCTCGTCCGTGCTGATGGCGCGTGGACGGTTGGAGCCGGAGCTGGTAATTCCGAGCGCACTCGATTGGCGCTTCAGTTCACCAAAGATGTTGTCCTTGTGGGCAAACAGATCGCGGATCAGGCGGTAGCTGTGGCGCTCATTCATCGTCAGACTGCTCTCGATGCGAGGGCGAAGAATACAAGGGGAAAAGGCCTGTGCCAACGAAGTGATGTATTCTTCGTCGGCCGAGGTCAAATCAATCAGGCGCGTGAAGTGAGTCATAATGGCATCAAGCGTAGCGATATTGACGAGGCGGAGTTGTCCAAGGGTGCTTTGCAGAACCTTGATCCGTCCTTCTTCCGTGGTCTCATGAGCGGTGGTGGAATAAATCGTCTTCACGATTTCGTAAACTTGTGAGGAAACCAATGAGTCTATCGGGGGATTAATATCAACTTATATCAAGCCACCAAGAGAGCGACAAACCTGGCAATTCAAGCAGGTACAATCTTAGAACGCTTGCAATAACGGGGATTTCGAACTGAGGCAACACTTCGGCATAATCGGCCTTGCTGTTGTTCAAAACTTGACGAAGCTTATGCGTCGTGCTGAGATCAACTTCGGTCAGCCAGATCATTCGCCGTGTTTCATCGCCTTCAAGTTCAGGGTAGCCTGTAGAATTTTGTGAGCCTTGAGTCATGGATCTGAACATATTCCACGAATGCCTTACGGTTATCTAGGTAGGTCAGAATGGTAGTCACCAGGATCGGAACACGTTTGCGGTCGGCACGGGCTCTAGCTTCAAGGTCGACACCAAAGTTTTGTTCTGGTGGAAATTAAAAATTAGCAACGTTTCATGGTTGGGTAATGACCATGGTTGTACCTTCAACGGAACCATAGTAGTTCTCGTAAGCTTGGATCTTAGGCACGAATCCACCAGTGCGGTAGTTCTCGAGCAGATATCTCAGGTCGCCGAGGGGCTGGATTGTTTCTTGATACAGCATCATATGATCCACTGTGCTCTGCAGATTGGGAATGACATTGCTGATCGCGCCCGAGAAGTCGAGAACCACGGCTTTGATGGCCTTGAGGCGGTCCAGCTCGCACTGCTCCATGTATTTGAGCTGGCCAATGACTTCTTCCTCCAAACGACAGCGGATCTGGTCAAGTCTACGAACGGCAACCTTGTACCGTTCATCGGCTTCCAAAGCCTCCCTTCGAAGCTTCTCCGAAGGTGTCTCGTTCGGGTAAGGGTTGTTGAGGGGATTCCATCCAGACAGCATCTCTGAGACAGATGCAATAGGCGAGTCGCTGCCGTTGCCGTCCTCGCTTGATGCCACTGAGGTGACACGCATGAGAGGCTTCTTTTTTTCTGGAATACCGGTGATTTGGAAAACCTTGGGACGCCACTGATAGTTCATCTTGGAGCTATTGGCAAAGACATTGCCCATATTTCCAACCAAGCGAAGAAGACCGTTGTTTACCATGTCCTGACCAATTATCTCCACCTGAGCGAGATTCTCGGCCTCCATGTAGGTCTGGATATATTGCGAAATATCCGCACCGGTGGATACATTCAGATAGGTGCCGATGATGGGAACCTTGGCCTCGCCAAGCTTGATGTTATCAAGCATATGGGTCAGGAGTTTTTTGATGTGGTCTGGCGGGAAAATCCGCTCACCCAACTCGATGGGGTCTTCTTCGGGCTCTTCCTCGGTGGGGAGGATGATCTTCGGGGGGGCTTTGATCTTCGGGCTCGTCTCAGGGTCTTGGAAAGCAAGTTTGTTCTCTTCTTCGAGGTCCTCGACGACACGACACTTGTTGAAGTAAGTACTGCGCAACTTCCTTACCAACTCCGCCTGCTTGGTGTGTTCCTTGATGCGGGACTGGAGGAGGTCGTGCGAGTACTGAACACGCATGTCATGCTGCTCGCCCCAACGCCGGAAGGGCGATACAACCAATTCACGGATATTGTTGGCGATCTTCTGGTGGTTCTTGGAGGCCTCGACCATCTCGGTGCGGATTCCTTCGTATGCCTGTAACAAAGTTCGCCCGACGTCAGTCTTCCTTCACCCGCGGTCCGTTCTATTCGTCTGAAAACAAACCTTTCTGACACTGGCTCCATCGTCCTTGCCAAATCCCACTGCCGTCATCCTATCCACGCTCGGGGCAATATCTCCCATGCGGAGTCCATACTGCTCTTCCGCGTCTGCACGCATGGACGCAATGGCCAAAATCTGTTTGTTCTCCACAACTCCCTGCTGCAGTTTCCCGTACAATACCCCCAGACCCGAAGCATAGTCGGGGGTCCAGAAAGAGTCGGCGAAACCGGGCATTATGGCGGCGGCTAAAAGGCTGACTCAGGCAGTGAAACGGAGACACGTTGTGATCGGCGTAAGAAATGAGAGCGATCCGGCAGGTGACACAGGTGAGTTCGTAGGTTCGGAGGAAAATGCGAATCGTAAAAGGGTGGGAAAAGCGCGAAAATGGGAGTCAATCGGGGCGAATTGACGTTGGGCGGCTACTGAGGTTCTGGGTTTGCGATATGATCAAGGACACCGAGCGAAGACCAGCTGGCTTAGTTGTAAATTCAATATCCAGTCTTGACGCTGGATGGAACTGCGCATAGACCGGGACACCAATGACGAGGGAGGGAAGATCACTTTGGAATGCCAGAGAAGAGAGTGCGCAGGGTGTTAAGCGCCGGGTCGCGAAAGAATTCGAGGCTAAAATGAGCGAAGGCCAGGCCTGGCAAGTTGCGATGCAAGTCGGCAGGAAACTAGCAATAAAAACAAAGAAAAACAGAAATGGGAAAGATGGAGATGGAGATGGAGATGGAGTTCATGGAGTTCATGGATTTCCAGATCGTAGGGCGTCATGTGGCTCGTAATATTACGGGGATTCGTGTACATCTGAGACCAATACAGCCCAGCAAGAGTCCTTTGGTTTACTGCGTGGCTCTGGTCTCCACCGTCTTTGAACCCACTTGGGCTATTTTTGGGGTTGAAAATTACACTGGGGTGGTAATTGGTTGCAAATATTTAAATTTGGGTGTTTTTTTCATCTGGTGAAGAAAAAAAGGGGGGGTCGGTGTGTGGCTTGTCTCTTTTTGTTTTGTTTACAGTTGTGGCTGTGAGCCTTGCATGAGAGTAATAATACACATTCAATCGATGTTATAGTATAGAATTTAGGGTAACAGTACAATATGTGGCACCCTACCCCCAAGTCGTTGACTTCCTGGGTCGAAGGTTCCCCCACAAGTATTTAGCGCCAAGCCTGGAGGCTCGAGATGAGGATCTACGTTAATATATAGTGGTTAATATAGTGTTGTAGGTTGTTAAAAGGAGTTTATGCCCATTTTTGAAATGTATGAACGTTGTGTCATATTCATAAAAAATTATGGTATCGTGATTATCTTTAAGAGATGGCCTTCAAATATCAAGATGTACATAAGGGGGATGTAATCGAGAGCGAAAAATAAAAAAATAGAAAGACCAAACACCTGTTTAACAGAAGAAGCTGTAAACCTTCTTCCACGCGGGCCATTGTTTTTGCTCGGCCCGCTCCTGCTCAACCAAATGCTGAACATCAAGGTCGCGACGACCAGTGACCAAATCCACCTCGGATGTGCGAATAAACTTGGTCTTGTACACGATCTTGTAACCGACGTAGGAAACCAGAACCACGGGGGCGGCCAAGTAGACAGAGAAGAAGTTGTAGACAAGTTCCTGGGCGGTCTTCTCTGCGTAACCGATGGGGGCAAAACCAACCCAGAACTGAGCAACCAGCACGAGACAGTTGAAGATGAGACCAATCCACGAGCCAATGACGCCGGGCTGGGAACGGAAGGCCAGCTCATCCAGGCTGTGGCCCTGTTTCTTCCACGCGCGGCGGAAGAGGATGTGGGCACCACACACAGAACCCCAAGTGAAGATAGACGACAGACCCGAGATGGCCATCATCCAGGCGAAAGCAGTGGTCTGCACATCTGAGGCGGCGAGGTAGCAAAGCAGACCCAAGGCAGATGCAATCAGAATGGCGGGGAGAGGACGACCCTGGCGGTCGATGTATGCGAGGAACTTTGGGGCTTGGCCCTGCTCGGCAAGGGCGGCAAGAGTACGCGAGGATCCGTAGACGGAGGAGTTGCCGACGGACAGGACAGCAATCAGGATGACGACGTTCATGATCGAAGGAAGAGCTTTGATTCCTGCATTCTCAATGGCAATGACGAAAGGAGAGGCCTTGGCATCGGCGGAGGAGGTACCGCTGATAAGTTTCGGGTCGTCGTATCTCACCAGGAGGCCGACGACGGTAAGGGAAACCACGTAGAAGAGAGCAATACGCCAAAAGACCTGCTTGACGGCAGTGGGAAGGGACTTGCGGGGATTGGCGGTTTCAGCGGCGGCAAGACCAACAAGTTCGGTTCCAGAAAAGGCAAACGCGGCGTTGACAAACACACTGCAGAGACCCTTGAAACCGTTTCTGAATGCACCTGGGTCGTACCAGTACTTGGCGCCAATATATCCACCTTCGGGACCACCACCGCAGTTGAGGACGATTCCAAGGATACTAAGAGTCAAGTCAGTTGGAGAGTTCAAGTTTCAGCAAACAGTAGCGTAACTTACATAAAACCAATAACAGCAATGACCTTGATGATGGAGAAGACAAATTCCGCTTCACCATATCCTCGCACACCGAACATGTTGATTGCGACAATCAAAACCCAGAAGATGGTTACCCAGGCGGCATTTGAAACACCTGGGTTCCAATAATCGACTGTGATAGAGGCAGCGACAATCTCCAAGGGTAGGACAATGAGCCACTGAAGAGCGTAATTCCAACCCATAGCAAAACCCCAAGCAGGATCCACGAAACGAGTCGAGTAATGGGCGAAAGAACCGGCAACGGGGAAGAGAACTGCCATTTCACCCAAGGCGTGAACTGTGCAGTAAAGCATGCATCCAATCAAAATATAGGCAATCAATACTGAGGCGGGACCACCGGCGGCCAAAACAGATCCGGAACCAACGAAGAGACCAGTACCTACAATAATAAATGGTATTAGCAAGGACAAACGATTGAAGGCTCGATGGAGAACATACCAATAGAACCACCAATAGCAATCATCTGCAGATGGCGCCCCTTCAAGCGACGCTGTAACGGGGAGTGGGCAGTGTTATGTGCGGCACTTTCGATATCGAAGCCAGTGCCATCGGCTCCCGCATGACCGGAGACAGTGTGGTTAGGATCTCTCTTGAAACTGTCGAAGATTCGTTGGCCTAAGCCTCCCCGCGTTGGAGATGAGTCGCCATAGGATGGGGGGCCGTCCGAGCCAGTCTGGACGGTGTGCTCCTCGAATTTCTTCTCCTCCATGATGTGTATGTGAGTAGGTTTTTCTTATAAGGATGGTTAGGATTATCCCGAAAGGTAGACAGAAGTATCTTTCGATCGACCTGAGGAATCCGGAGAATTTGAGGTCTATGAATCAACACAAAGGTGAAACGAGTAGTTTGACCGTTTAGGAGGGGGGGACGAGGGTATAAATACAACCAGTCTAATTTGAGATAAAAACGATATTATTATTTTTACGTGCCATATACTCAAATTGAATCAAATTAAATCAAAAGCACCCACATGTGTTTGCTTTCCTGCGCTTAGACAAACTAAAGTTTCGCACTAATACCATTTCAAACTACAATCTTCTGATAATCTTGGCATGCTCTGGTTAACGCCCGAGTCCCGATAGTAAATAGACAAATTATCTTTTTCTAATTGATTTGAATTTATATCCGACGTATGTGCTCCGTGCTCTTTACGTAAAAATCTTATTCGAGGCTACGAGTTACGATCATGATTCATGCATTGTCATGGAAGTAAGCTGCAAATGGTAAAGTTCCTGGGCTTTTGCTGGGAGATAAGCCCTTGGAACTTGGAAGCTGGGTGTTTCACCTTACTATCTTATTGTTTAAACCAAAAGGGGGAATTTGAGATAATTACTTGCGAGTCAAAGATGTGGAACCCTGTCTGTTAGACGCCACCTGGGCACTACTTATCTATCTTTTCGCGTGATTTAGCGACTTCACCTCCAGTCATGGATGTCCAATGTTTACACCTAACACCCTAGCCTTACTATCTCCACGATCTAGCTGACTCGTACTGCATAGTCATGCTGACAGGTATTAAACGACTTGATCTGGAATCATAATATTCTTTGGGTGTCTAGATGGACTTGAAAAAGAAAAGCCAAGCTTCTGGAGCCCAAAGACGGCAAATCCCCAGATCCACTAAACCCCATCAGTCAGTCTCTCCGCACTCTACCCGTGGGCGATAGCCGATCATTACCCAATCAGACAACTTCGGGAGATAAGAGAAAAACATCCCTACAGTTTCCTCCGGTCGTCCATCTGGGTAACACGGCGTCGCCGGATGTTTCCTAATCTTTCTTCTAGAAGACTTTATCTTCGCGAGCTGACATTCTAGGTTTGCACAAAATAACCTTAGAAATATAACATTACTCAATAATATACTAATGGACGGAAGGGAAGATCCCTTTCGTTTGTCACCCCTTGCCTATGGGGAGGCTTCCCGACGGACCCCGTTCCTGTTGCGTGCGCTATGGGCCACAGGGATATGTGTGTAATGCCATATGGCCGAAGCAATTTGCCCCACCGAGGCTTCTTCGCAACCTTTCACAATTGACTTTGTCTGGCAGTCACCTCGGTACAAAGTATGGTCTCTTGGCTTGGATAAGTCTCTTGACCTGGGTGGTGAGAAAGGCAGACGACATGTTGTGGATATTCTAGGAAGAACCGCCTCGGCAGCGTTCGCCGCTACCGCCTGACATGGGCTCGGATGGTCCCCTGGGATAAGGGATGGCGCCATGAAACTCTATGCTTAGGCGTTCTAAGCGAGAGTTTTCCCTGGTTCGTGGCAGTCTGCCACTGATATGCATAGAAGAACGGGAGAAGCATACCAGAAAGCTAAGAGGGTGTGCTTGGGAGATACAATCATGTGGTGCTCATTAGAAACCCGTGTGATGATTGGCCTGGTGTCGGCGAGTTAAGCAGGACCCTCGTATTTTCGCTGGGCAACATGCAGAACACAATCAATTAGCAAGCCGTGGTAGGTCCAAGATATACCCTCGCATCCTGGGGTCCGCCAATAGACTTGCGTGGACCAATACCTGGATTCGGGCATCCCCATCACAGATCAATCACATTTGGCGACTAACCTTGGCACGAGTGTTGATATCTCGAGGTGTTCACAATCATAATCGTGTGACATCCAAGCTTGAGAGAAGCTCTTCGGGGGGAAAATCGAAATGTAAAAACGGACCCACAGCTCTTATCTTTCATGCCTGCATTGCAGGTCAAGCACATTAGCATTTTCTTAGATAGGGCACACCACAACGAGAAACTTTAGCCCGCGAAGCCCGGTCAAATAATAAGGGGGCGAAAGAAAAAAAAAAAAGGCGCACCAGAGTTCTCGGCCTTGAGCTGAATTTGGATTGATGCTTGACTATCAGCCACTTAAGCCTTCCCCAGCTGATGGCGCGCAGTAGCCAATTTTACTGGCCACGCTCCCGCAACAGATAGCCACGGTAACATCGGGGTGGGTTGGCATTTATGTTCCGGTGACTAGAGCAAAGGCTGATTGTCTTTCGTTGAAGGTTAGCGGCTGCGCCCGGACAATAGTCTGGCGTGTAGAGTACGTTATACTCTGTACAGCAACCTGCTTAAATAGGTGCCCATGTGAAATCCGTCGGTTAGATCTGTACTTTGTAGCACAAAGTTAGCTCTTCCGTAGACACACCCGTGGACCCTTTCAAGGTAATTTGTTAGGTTCCAAGATTGAGCATCAGAAGTTAACGGGTAATACCCCGCAAAATATCCTCTGTACGAGGACCGTAGCATTGTTGCCCATTTGAGGACACTCAAGCCGAGAAAAATCCCCAGAGATGAACACAGCCTGAGCCAAAGAGCACGCGATACGCATTGGGATTATCGCCACCGCCACGGAGTGGCCCGGCTACCCCAGGTTGATTTACAAAACACAAAAACCATGCCCCATAAATTCCAAGGTTTGTTCAAGTATTCTTTCTCGGTAGGTTAACAATTCCCGACAGCCAAGTCGGAGCTCCCCATTTAGGTGCATGAGGGACTTGGTATTCCATAGTTTGTCTCACTCCAAGAGTTAACTAAAAAATAATCCACACCAATAGACAAGACTAAAAATAATCTATCAAAATAAACAGGCTGCAACGTAAACCAGGAGTCGACATAAGGTGCATATAAAAGGTGGGGTTACAATCTGTTAGGTAACAGTTTCCACATAGTCTACTTTGGAGTCTGGGGAAACACGGCACGACGAAACACCGATGCTTTCAGCATGAGGGGATTTGGGGGAAAGTGAATACTTTGTATTCGAATAATATCCATTATTATCCATGGACAGTTTGAACTGCATCTCCAGCCCGTCCCTGGAAATCCGTGCGCATCGCGACCCCTTTTCCTGTCCCTGGCCAAGACTGCCACTTTCCTCGGCAGCTTATCTTGCTTTAAATTGGCCACTGAAAGCTTCCTGCCACATGGATGTTATCGTGAGCTAGGGATGGCTCTTGAGCGTGAGATTTACACAATAGCGCTAATACCGGGCCGGTCTATGTCCAGATCTACGAAGTACGTACTTCGTAGGGGTTAGTTATATATCAAATAAAGTATGCATCATAGATAATCACGTCCTAATTAGCTATTTGTTAAGTTTCGCTACACTAGTACCGGGCCGGCCTATGTCTAGATCTACGAAGTACGTACTCCGTAGGGGCTATATATCGAATAAATTATGCACTATAGATAATCACGTCCTAATTAGCTACTTGTTAAGTTTCGCTACACTAGTACCGGGCCGGCCTATGTCCAGATCTACGGAGTACGTAAGGGCGATCGCATCCTAATTAGCTACTTGTTAACTTTGGCCACCATCATTAGTCTCCACTAACAGCAGTTGACTGACTGGCGATTCAACACGCTGAATGTGGGGTAGTTGAGGCGATTTGGAAGTCCTTTCGCTACATCATGCATCGTGATATCCACGAAGAAATGCCCGATCAGTACGCAGCAGCGGCCTCTGCTCGTATCGATAGGATGGTTCCAGATATTGATAATAGCCGGTTGTAAACTGTAAATCTCGCACGGCGACCGGGGTTAGCCGTTGATACCCTGATTTCAGGTAGAGACGGCTTGTGGTTGGAGAGCTTATCTAGGATCCCTGGTTGCCCGGAGGTCTTTTGCGGGCTAGTTCCTGCATGGTTTACCCCGTATATTATTGGAGGCTGCAGCTAGTCCTGTCTGGCGGACTATAGTGTGGAAGACCCGTGGACACCCCTGGATTGTGACTAGCCATCACTGAGATGCACATCTCGTTGTGGAAAGAACAGTTTCTCTCGTGCGTTGTTGGCAACATCTTCTTGTCTTCTACTACGCTGAGCTACGAGCTACGCGCTATTTGAGACACGGGATGAAGGGGGAGAGACGAAAAGCACGCTTGGCATGGAGGTTCATTCGTTCAACAATTTTGTTCTATGTCGTTGCATTCGGTATCATTAATACACAAAGTTTTATTTTTCGTCAGGGCAAGAACTGGGTATCTCAAGCTCATGAGCTTGCCACGGGGCCTTCACCACCGGGAATCAACTGGATGAGGAGTTAATGAAGCACCGAGACGGCCTCAAGGTAAATCAACTTACCATGCAGATATTGTTTCCATTCAGCAAGAGCTTGGGGAGCTTGATTTGGGCACCGGTGTAGTCGCTGAGAGGAAGTTAGTCCAGGGTCCAATCACAAAAGTTGTCGAGAATTTCGATAGAAATTTGCAAATCCAGACGGAGAGCAACGAGCACTGCTTAGGGGTGTAGGAGCCAAGGCAACCAAACACAACCACAGAAGAAAAAAAAGGGTAGCTCAAAGCCAGAAAATCCAAATCAAATCAAATCAAATCAAAGCACGTACAACTCTGTCACGTCTTCCATAACCATGTCTAAATCGAAATTAGTGCCTGATGAGATCGTCACTTTTTATACAGGGATACTCACTGACGTAGTCATCGAATCCGAGCAAGGTCCCGGAGAACTCTTCATAAGTATTAGTACGAGGATTTACTTTCATTACCAACCTCTGAATTTTAGCTGACCTTTGTCACCCTTCATGACAACCCAAATCCGGGAGCCGACACACTTATCAATGAGCTCTATCAAACGAGTTAGCGGGGTCATGGTTTTCTTGGGTCATTAGGCACGGACCGAGAGGAAGCAACTGAGAAGCCATGATGCCGGGAGGCAGAAAATATTGTCACTGAATAAAAAATTTCTTGGGTAGGATCTTGATTTAAAAACAAAGATGATCGAGCATTCCGCGTGAGCAAGACCAATATAGAAAACGACGTGATTGTTCGTCGCTCGGCACCTCTGATGATCCGTCCCGAGGGACTAAGCCAAATAAGGTTTAGAGGCAACTCTCAAAGTTGATTTGCGCGCTTGTAGCTCCGCAACATGGAGTGCTATCCTGATCTTTAATTGACTTTCTAGATGCAGCTTTGTTGATTGCCCATAGACTGAGCTGACACTTGTTGTCCATTAAACTGATCATACCCGATTGCTTCGCGGGCCTTCAGGCTGGTCCACTATGCTTGTTATACATTATGCCAATGCGGCCGAATCTTTTAGCAAGTCGGAGGGCCCCGTCTTCGATTGCAAAACATAGCGGTCACCTCGACATATTCAAATCTTATAAGACACTGCGATGGGGGCTTTTTGAGCAGCAGCGGTAAGCACGCTTCGCTGTGTCCAGCTTCAACACCTATTTTTCTAACTAAACTACAGTAGCCCCGATACTTGCCCACGATCTGTCCCAACGCTCCGACATACGTCTTTACCGAATACAAGCTCCTCGTACGTCCCGATCGTGATCTCTCAGCCAAAGCGATATTTTTCCGATACCGCTCGCAAAGAAGGCATATGGGATGACGACGATGAAGTCCCAGAGCCAAAACCAGTGCAACGAATTCCAGGGCGGCCGGCCTTTGTCCGCCCTACCCGACATCGAGACTTGGGCAGCTTGGTTCGATCGAGAGTAGACGGGAAAAATCGAGTCGCTCAACGTCTGCGCATTGAAAAGGAGTTCAATTCGTTACCTCCATATCAGGAACTTGTTGAGAGCTTTATCCAATTGAAGTACAAACAAGTTGATGACCTTCTTGATGAATCCCTCAAGGCCAACCTAGCCTATCAATCTGAATATGGAGCTCTCTCGTCAATATTTCAAAACCGAATCAATGATGTGGTCTCCCGGATAACAAAACAGGTTCTCCATGCCGAAAAGACCACCCAAGAATGTGTAACTGAATTGGAAAGCCTGTCAAGCTTCATCAGCGCGCACATCGTAACTGTGGTCTCGGACAACACGGAAAAAGTTCTACAAGCAGAGAATACCGGTCGAATGATCGACCATGACTTCTGCTGCATTGTTTTTGGTAGAACTCCAAAATGGGAAAAAAAGCTGGAAATATCTGCCCAGAAGATCCATGGTTGGAAGAAGTCTCTTCGTACGGCTCAAAAAGCACTCCTGCCAGCCCTGGTCGACATTTCTGAGCTGTCCATCTGTCGGTTGAGAGACACTCTCGATAATGATTACCTACGTCCCCGGAATACCGCAAGAAGTCGAATTGATAGAGTTCTTCATGAAAGCAAAGTCATTCAGAAGAACTACAACGAGTTGAAACTGAAACGTCTTAACACGCGAATTTTCCCCATCAGGGACCTTTGCTGGGAGCTTCAAAAAAGCTCGACCCTTCACCCAACCGATAAATGGGTGTTTGGCCAGTACAAAGAAATCCTTGAGCGTAGTGAACGCGAGCTTAGTATATGCGCGCATTATCATCGTGCCTTCTGGCTCAGAAGGCAAGAGGCTTTGCATCCACTTCGACGAAGTGAACTATGGAATTTGAAGGATGTCATGGCCGAAGCTTCATCTGCACGTTCTCACAAAGCTACCGACAAGCAAGTCTTACTTGCGCTTGCACTGGGTGCCCCAAAGAACTCACCGGCGAGTCAGTACTTACACAACAATCCACTCATGATATCCAACAAGATTTATCTCGAATACAAGCGTCTTTGGATGCCAAAACCCGCACGCAGCCCTGAGCTACATATCTACTGGCGGCAGCTGGATGTAATAGCGCCACTGCTCATGATTGATGTTCTCACGTGGGGGCTTCAAAATGAAGTTTGGTACCTCCACCACAGCCTCAAAGGTGATCTTGGGACATTGTGGACTTGGGTCACCAAGGAGACTATGGAGCACGCTGTTCCAAAAATAGCCGACTGGTGCATAGAATTCCAGAAACATCGCAGCGATCTTCGACAATTGATCTCTGAATACAGACGTCTAAACTGGCTGCGTCTTCAATCAGAAACATTGCTACACTCAATGGGACAACGCGTCTATCTCGCTGGAAAGTTTGAAGTCCTCAATCCAATGAGCCAGGATGTCCGTGGCTTCAAGAAATGGACTACTCGCATGGGTCAGCTCACTTCTGACGCTTATATCCCCGTAATGGCCATCCGGCAGACGCGAACGGATTGGCAGTCTATCCACAACAAAATTAATAGCGAGACCGGGCGGGCTTCTTCCTTTATCCCCCACATTTTAGAACTGGGTTCTTCGACGAATAAGACCTGGCGTAAGAAGGGACGAGAGGAATCCGAATCTCCCAAGGCCAAGGCCGCTTTTATCAAATTATCTCAAAGCCGCCTTTCAAGATATATGAAAGGAAAATTGCCAGCCCATTCCGAGTTTTCGCCTGCCAGTCAGGGCAATCAGGAGCCTGGTCAGGCTATGATACCCACAAAAGGTTCCTCGGGAAGGACAAGGCAGATACTGAAGCGAAAAGCTGGACCTCAGCATGCAGCTGAGTTAGCTACTAGCCAAGGTAGTCAAGAAGACAGCCGCCTCGGACACAACCTAGATCCGAATCCTTCGACAATAAAAGCCGAGGACCACACAACAGTGGGCACGCTTGTATCCAACCCACCCCCCGTCGATGTGCCTGCGGGTCAGGACAATCGGCAGGATAGTCAGTTCATCTACAAGCCGTCACTCAAATCCCGGGAGAGAAAATCGAGCCTCGAAGAGCCTGAGCCCAACCCGTTCCTAGTCAAGGCGCCTGCTAGGAAGACAAATCAGGTGCCCAGTCGGCTCATCTACAAACCATCATTCAAATTCCGGGAGAGAAGATATAGAAGCCTCGACGCGCCTGAGTTCAACCCGTTCCTAGTTAATGCGCCTGCTAGCCAGACGAACCTGGAAGTCCTTCCCAAGCCACCACCCATACTCTCGAAGAGCAAAGAGGTGAGCCTCAGCTCGGAGACACAACTTGATGGCCTCCGTCCACCAATTCCAAGAGAAGCCAATGGATCCCCAAGCACACGGACACACAACGGACTACGGCCGGCAACCATGCTGCCGAGGAAACCGTTCCCTAAACCAGATCCAAACGGTGGGAGAAAGTATAGTACGGATGCAATTTTCCACCAAACACAATTTCGACAAAGCGGTGGTGTCAGCGATGATTCTCCATCTGAACGGTCAATTGAAACCGATATGACCTCGGTCCCAAATACCGTGACTGGACATGAGCCAGAATCCATTGAAGAAGATGACTCCACAGATGAACAACTCCCATCTTCAACACCCCAGTTTTGGAGCCACAGCTCACAGCACAGCCCCGATGGCCGGAAACTCATCGTGCACTATTGCCGGACCCTTCAAAGTACCGAAGAAGCTGTGCAACACTTCTTGGGGAGCAAAGTCATTGGGTTCGACATGGAATGGAAGGCTCAAGCATCCGGCTGGGACAGCATTCAGAGCAATGTCTCGGTGATCCAAATCGCAAACGAGGAGCGTATCGCCATCTTCCAGGTTGCGCTCTTCAAGCCGGCACGTTCTCTGGATGACTTGGTTTCCCCATCATTGAAACGCCTCATTGAATCTCCCGATGTCATGAAAGTGGGCGTTTCAATCAAGGCAGACTGCACGCGGCTGCGCAAGTATCTTGGCATCGATGCCAAAGCCACTTTCGAGCTCAGCCATTTGTACAAGTTGATCAAATACGGCAAAGACAATCCCAAATTGGTGAACAAGAGGGGCGTCAATCTCAGCGAGCAAATAAATGAGCATTTCGGTCTCCCTCTTGAGAAAAGTGATGATGTCCGCTGCGGTGATTGGACACGGGCTTTGAGTTATCGTCAGGTTCAATGTGAGTACTTAGAGGCCTGCACAATCTCTCTCCTGATATGCTAATATTGTCTTTTTTTTTATTATTAGATGCCGCTACGGATCCGTACGCTTGTGTTCGTTTGTTCTATACCATGGACGCGAAAAGACAAGCCATGAACCCAATGCCTCCTCGTCCTGCGTTCGCTGAACTCAACCAGCCCATTGTTCTTCCGCTTGGACAAGCAGTCAACAGCGAGGAAGACCCAGTGGTCTGATATGTAGATCCCAGTTCTCCAACTCATGGATTCCAGACCCAAACGCATGTAATTACATTTGGCGTCCCCTAAATACCCCCATTTTTTTGTTTTATTTTGCACAACTTTGGAGCATATATTTGTACACTTTCGATCGGAGACGTCTTTTACTTTCTTCTTTTTTTTATATCCTTTGGTGTGGTATTTTGTGTCTTGCATTCTTAAACGGCGTGCATTCTTGCATTTTCTACATTGTACCGGTGAACGTATATTAATCGGCTGATCTATATCAAGATTCAATCGAACCATACAGTCCATGAAAAACCATGCTCGAATAAAATAGAAGAAAGGGGGTATATATTTATCCAAAATAAGTGTATACATGTATCAGTAGCGCCAATCTCTTCAGCAATATACATGAAGACCATGAAAGCACTAGAAAATTTATCGCCTCAATTAACCACATAGCTACCCTCTTAGAGGAAGCACCTTAGACAGTAAAACCTCCTGCCGGCAGAGCGGGCACTCAGGCTTTTCACGAACCCAGTCCCGAACACAAATCCAGCAAAATACATGTCCACAGGTCGTAACGCTAGGATCCTTGAACATTTCCAGACACAAGGTGCACTTCCGCTGCTGACCCTCAGGGATCCACGAGACAGCGCCAGGGTCTTCCTCGAGATCATACAGAGGCACAGACGCAGGAAGAAGAGGAATGGAAGACGGGTTCTGAATCGAAGCAATAACAGCTCCACCCTGCCCGGGCGACTGGCCAGCGTCCGCAGACAGGCTCTCGTCTTCATTCATACTCGCGCCGAGTTTGCGAGCGTGCAGGAATCCCTGCACGGCGATCTGGAGAACAAGCAACACACCCAGAACCTCATATCCGATACGCTGCTCATTGTCATCGATCTTCTTTGTGAAAACATAACGCAGACTCCAAAGTCGCTTGGAGAGATGGTAGTACGAGCCCGTGAAATAGAAGGTCGCAATGCTCAGTGCATAAATAGGCGACAAGGATGTGATGGAGTCCAGGTGTTCAAGGATATACTGCTGGATGCGCAGTTTCGTAAACAACGGTCGCTTAGTCGGGGTAGTTGAGAACTGGGGCTTATTAAGCAGGCCAGCCTGCTGCGCCGCTTGTGACTGCTGGCGTGCAATGTTGCGCTCGAGCTTATTGCGGATTCTCTGTCGTAGCGCGGGTAGAAGTCGTTGTAGTGCCCACGGTACTAGGATGCTACTTAGGATGTACCCCACGCGACGGCCGATTGATGGTAATTGGAGGGTGTCATCTTCTAGTTGTACGAGGTCGCAGTATTCTTCGCCTAGGGTGCGGTTGCCGATGGCGGTTGTTAGGGTGAAGTAGAGGAGTTCTGTGAGGTGTTTGATGGCGTCGGAGTGGGTGTGGGCGTATCGGGCGCCACGGAGAGCCCGGACGATGCCTTGGGATTGTTGAATCAGGCTGCCTGTAAGAAATGCATCCTTCTCATGCGAGCGGATGATGTCTGGTGAGGTTGCGAAGGGGTAGAAGTGTGAGGTAGATGAGCCGAGGGCTGAGTTCGGGGTTGATAGAGAGAGATGGGAGTCGTCGTCCGCCATGACAATGTAGGGGTTTTGATAGGGATATAGATTAAGCTTGAGGGTGAGGGTCAATGATATTTGCTAGCCCAGTGCATTCCCTAAGACGAGTCACAGGCTCAATCCCCCAGCTTTCATACCTAGCAGATAACAATTTCCCCGGAGTTGTCCTCGGATGTCATGCCTCGGTATAGAAAGACATCATGTGACCTGACTGACCTAGGTCACCTGATCAAACCGGTGGATAAATTAATTACCACATTACGTCAGTTGTTACATTGTTACACCCACAATACCATAATTACCATAATTTCCAATTTCCCATACGGACGCAAGCGTCCCACATGTGGTACTTGGGAGGTACCTGGGTCTGGGCAGATGAGAGCGGGAGGCTTACAGTGGCTAAATGTACCTTTGGTACCCCTTTTTTGTGCAGAAAGAAGATGTTCCTAAGATGTTCCTAAGAAGTGACTTTATGATGACATGTGTACGTTGTGATTGAACGACGTAACTAGTTCCAATAAATGAGGTTTCGATCTTCCTTCTCCTGAGAGGTGCTTCTAATTAGTTCTAATTATACCCATAATAAACCCAATTTGACCTGTGGGGTTCCAGACCGGACTGTGACTAGTCCAGGTGCGTATTCTCCAGGGCATTCAGGGCTCCAGGACTCTCCGCTCCGCTTATTAAACTGCTTCAAGGGAAAAGTCTCAATTTCCGTTCAAAGACGTCGACTCACTCCTAGTCATTCTTTTCTTTTGTGGTATAAGGGGGTCTTTGTTACTTTTTAGCCTTCTCTTTTTCCCTGTGATCCTCCCTTTCCCCCTGATCAATGGAATAATGGCGGTTGATCAACATGCTCAATTGGATGCCTTTGGGCTGATCTTCCCATTGCCGCTACGTATAGCTGCTATCTTGGTCGCTGGTAGGTGACATTCCTGTCCAAAGGGGGTTGGATCCCAATCAGGTGTGTGCTAACACAAGGGGTTAGGTTTCTGGGGATGGGGTATCAACCTTCAATACCTGGCTAAAGCCAACATTGTAAGTGGCGCCCCTCACTTAACCATCGTATTTCCGACGGCTAATCAGATTTCCTATACTTCTAGGACGTTCCGGCGCTCATCAAATATCCTGCCCGCACATCCTCCCAACGCCCACATCACACCGCCGTCTATCGCCTGGCCACATGTTTCACCATCCCACTTGCCCTGTGGTTTATCATCTTTTGGCTTGCCACCCGCCGGTCCCCTGAATTGGTAGAGCGACTGGACTGGATCCCACAGTCGGTGTTCATTATCCTCCTCCTTATTCTGATCTGGCCCTTCAACCGCGCCTCTCGTGCCGGCCGTATCCGATTTCTCCTTACCCTCAAGCGGATCAGTATTGGTGGTCTGGCCGAGACTCAGGATGGCAAGTTTGGGGACATTCTGCTGGCAGATGCCCTAACTAGCTATGCTCGCGTGATCGGAGATCTGTATATCAGTTTCTGCATGTTCTTCACCGATGGCTTCGCCGCTACTTCCAAGCCCAACCGGGCCTGCGGAAGTGAAATTGTCGTTCCGATCATCCTCGCGGTTCCCAGTTTGATTCGTCTTCGTCAGTGTTTAACTGAATATCTTCGTGCGCGTCGGACAGTCACCCGGAGAGAGACACACAAGGTCAACCAGCACTTGGCCAACGCTCTCAAGTACGCAACTGCGTTCCCTGTCATTTGGATTGCCTCCAAAATGCGCAACTACAATCCCTTGGAGCTTCGTGGATATAGCGAGGTTAGCATGATGCGCCTTCTGTAAGATTGTATTCCTCGTATATTGTGTCTATGCTTTTCTCTAACACTCCACAGATTTATCGTCTCTTTTATCAACTCTGGCTACTCTTTCTGGTGGGATGTGGTCAAGGATTGGGATATGACTCTCTTCTCCCCCCAACGTCGCGACAGCGCCCATCCATACGGACTCCGCCGATATCGCTACTTCGCATCCGACAAGATGTACCACTACGTCATTATCGCAGATCTGGTCCTTCGTTTCTCATGGCTATGGCGCATCGTCCCAGGCCTCGGCTGGATTCCGGAAACAGAAAGCGGATTATGGTTGCTCATGTTCCTCGAAGTTGTACGACGTTGGATGTGGGTATTCTTCCGGACTGAAGCTGAATGGAGTATGTTTTCCCCCTGTGCACCCGCACTCCCCCTGATCTCAACCGTGTCACCCATGCACTGTTATCCTGGTTTTCGGACATTTCCACTCACGCCTTTTGTGCCCTAGTTCGAAATACCCATGGCCCAGGCCCAGATGATGTCCTCCTTGGCGAATACAACCACAAATTCGACGCGGACTAGATTTACCTCTAGCTTTTCCGTCTTTGATCATACCTTCAAGCGATGACGAAGAAAAACTCTCCCTCTTAACCCAACACAACGGTTGAGTCTTCGGGCATATTCTGCTCCCCCTAACAAAACCCCGGATATCCCTACCCAATCTAATGCTAGAGCAGCGATAGATGAGGCTTGAGCTTGACTCTGGCTCTTTTTTGTTTGTTTTTTTCGGGCGTGTGTGAAATCATCCCATCACACGCCCTTGTACGCCTATTGTTTTCTTTTTGGGGGGCTCAATTCAGCTACATGTGTGTAACCTCATGCACAATGATTTCTTAGATTCCTTGGACTTGGATCTCTGGGCCTGCGGCAAGCATGACTTTCTTTTTCTCTGGATTCCTGTTTACTCTTCATTGTACCAATACTTACCTAGGGTCAACCTGGTCTGACGTCTGCATCTGCCCTGCCTTTGTTTCCCTCTTTACATATACCACTATCCTATTGGATCGCAATCATGGTCCTTTATTTCTTTTTCCTTCGTTTCTTCTCGGCGCTTAGCTGTCAGGAGGTCTAATTGGCTGTTAGTCTGTTGGATTAATGGCCTTTCTTGGTGTTTTGGTGATTGACGAACCTAATGATTGAAGACTTGAATTCGGTTGATAGACACATATTAATATTTTATTAGACGATAACAAGTAGAGATGTGGTGCCAGCAGAAAGTGGAAGCCCTAGAAGTCGGTTGCCTTATCTTGCGAGCTTCCTGGGCCGGTCGTGTTATGAACGCACAACCGACCACCTGGGCATGCGAGAAATGGGCCCAGTGGAAGTTATAATCTCGGTAATTTGAAAGGGGATAAGCTACGACTGTTGATCTAAAGAAAATAGTCCATTGACTTCTAAAAAATAACATGACAAAGACAGACTCGTTGACTTCGTGCAAATATCCTTCCCACACAAGACATAAGAAATAGAAACACAACCATAGATAGATATCGAGATAAATATCCAGGCGGACCAGCCAAATAGGCCTCTGACCTATCCATGCTTCTCTTCCGCTGCCATCTCCTGCCTTTTTCTTCCACAACCATTCATGAAATTCAGCTTCACCTCACTTCACCTCATGTCACTCACGTCATACATGCTTGTTAAACATTTCAATATGTTCACAGTAGAATAACATCCACATATTGCGGCGCCCTTTCATATAACGTCATGCTAGTCCGAGGGGGGCTGATATGGACCCCCGGAGAAGCAGATGAGGGCTAGGATTGTTCATCAATCCTTCAAAGGTCCTTCTTGATTATGTGGGCCTTGGGAAGGGTACCAGCGCGGTCAATGGCGCTCTGGCGAGCTCCAGCAAGACCGTGCTGAGTGGCGATGCCGTCAATACGGTGAGTGGAGTTGATGTTCTTAACAAGGGTAAGCTGCCAGCAGGTGGCACCACCCTGGCGGGAAGTGATAGTGGAGGAAGCAAGGAAGTACTCCCAGATCTAAAAAAAAATCAATGGTTAGAAAGCGAACCAACCTTGGAAAGACCGAGGACTCAGTGAAAGAAACTTACGCGGAACCAGCGCTTTCCGTACTTGGCCTCGACCTTGTCGCGGTTGCCCATCCAGTTCCGGTACCAGCGCCAGAGGGTAGCAGAGTAGTGCACACCAATGGTGTCGACAGCCTTGACCTCAAAGCCAGCGCCCTCGAGGCGGTCCACAACGAAACCGAGAGGAGTACTGGCATCAGCACCGGGGAAGATGTATTTGTTCATGAAAAGACCCCAGATCAGGTCTTCGTATTGCCAGGACTTGCGGAGACCAGCGATCTGCAGGAAGAAAGTACCGTTGTCGTCGAGCATGTCGTAAACCTGAGTTAAGAAAGAAGACAAGTGGCGGACACCGACGTGCTCAGCCATCTCGAGACAAGTGATGTGTTGGTATCCACCCTCAACACGGGGAGCATCGCGATAGTCACTGCAAATAATGCGGCTCTGGTCCTCCTCGATTCCAGCCTTGCGAAGACCATTGTTACCCCATGCGGTTTGGTTGCGGCCAAGAGTGATACCAGTAACGTGAGCGCCGTAGTAGGCCGAGGCGTACCGAGCAAGAGTTCCCCAGCCGCAGCCAAGATCGAGGATCTTGTCACCGGGCTTGACACCAATCTTCTCACAAACAATGGCCAGCTTGTTGTCCTGGAGCTCCTCGAGGGTCTCCTCCTTGTTGATATCACTGATAACACCGGAGGTGTAGATCATGCGTGGGCCAAGGAACCAAGCGTAGAAGTCGTCACCTCGGTCGTAGTGATCACGGACCTGCTCCTCGTCTAGAAATAAGGTTAGAATTGCCACCGGCGCTGCACGAAGAGTTGCTTACCCTGAGAACGAGTGTGCATCAGCATCTCGGGGATGAAACCAAACAGGAAGTGCTTGAAGAGACCAGTGGTGAACTTGAAGTTGGCCCAGTCGTGACGGTACTCGAGGCACTCCAGAGCATCGCCCTTGAAGTCAACCTCGCCATTGAAGTACTTCTCGTAGAAGACCTCCATGGGGACCTTACTCTTGCCACGGTAGGTAGCACGATCGTGCTCGCTGTGGAACTGCAGGTAGTGCTCCACGGGGCGGCCACAGTACTTGGCCTTCTCGGTCTTGCGAGGAGAAACAGAAGAAGAGACAGCCCAGAAGGCCACCAGGACGGGAACGGAGGTGAAGAGAGCAAAGAATATGGTGGTGTAGAAACCTCCACCAACCTGGCGAGCCAGCCACCAAGGCACAATGACCTCCAGAGCGATCATCAAGCCATTGGAGAAGCTGTCGCTGCCGGGTGAATCAGCTGGGACGGGAGCATTCTTAATAGTCGGGTACTGGAGAGTAAAAGAAGCAAATTAGGTACTAGGCTCATCAAACATCCCTCACGAATGGCTCTAGCTGTGGACTTACCAGGGTGGTCGGGACACCGCAGTCGAAGGCAGGCTTGGTCTGCTCGGGGGCAGCCGGAGTCTGGATATATTCGAACTCCTCGGTGGAGTCCGGATGAATGGTCGTCATGGCGGCGAGGCGTCAATTGAGAGGAATGGGAAAGGAAAAGGAGAGGCCAGAGAGTAAATAAGAAGATGTGGGCAATTCCGGGGGCGGTGTGGGCTAGACCAAGGTACCTGGAAAGTACGTGATTGGTACTTGCCGTTCCATGGGCGGGCGAGCTGAAGACCTGGTACCCGCCAGGTACACCGAGTTTACTCTATTCTCCGGTTGGTCTCACTGACGTACAATGTAAACTATTATTATTGCAGGGCTTCATGTAGCTAGAGGCTAGTGGATTTGTCTTATCCCTTTTATTTTTATTTTTATTTTTTATGAACAGCCCTATGCATCACCCAGCCATTGGCTTTTGAATGACCGAGGTTTCACACTTCCCAAGAACTTGGTACTGCCTACGTGGTCCTTCACGGAAATAAAATGCAAGTGCGGACTCGCCTGTCTGTGGCTTGGCGAAGGATCATCATGGGAGTGGAGAACACCTGAAACAGTATGATCCGCAGTTTGACCTTGGAAGGGTTGGAACCTATTCAGTTACAAGTACATTAACGCTATTCCATGACGCCAGGATCCTTCGGCTTGTAGCCCCTGTGAGCCAATGCCATATGCCGAATCAATAACCATACTGAAGTAAAATTGTAATCCCCTTTCGATGCTTAGTATCTTTCGCAATGCCCCCGTTACAGAGTGAGCTGGAAGCTTTGGGCCTCATCATCTTCGTCAAATGTGGGTAGTGGCTCTTCCGGTTCCTGTGTGATCTCCTCCGGGGCATCAAAACATCCAGCAGCTTTGCAACGAGTCCACATTTCCGAGTCCAGCGGAGGGGGTCCATACAGCTGCATATAAGTTTCGGGAGACAGAACCTGAGAGCTCGAGGACTTCTGCGTTTGGGAATGCTTCTCCCGCAGAGTGGACGACACACTGCGTCCCTTGGAATAGCCAACGGTCGTTCGAGAGTTGACAGAAGCAGCAGTGTTGCGCATGGAAGAGGGGTTAGACGGGACCCTGGCGTGTCTCTTGGGCATAACCAGCGACGATGCCAATGACGCCACCCGTGGTTTGGGGGTTGGAGCCACTCGAGGTGCAGCGGTTGGCTGGGATCCACTGAGCGCAGCGGCAGCATCTCGAGCTCGAAGCGTCGACACACTGCGAGTGTGTCGTGTGGTAGTTGTAGGTCTCTTTGAGGGGAGGGCAGTTGGCTGCAGTGCATTTGTGGACTCGCTCTCGCCGGAGCCCTCGAAACCAATACCCTCAAGTTGTTTCATAATCATATCATCCACCATCTTATCGCACGCCGCCGAATCCTCCTTGAACTTGCGCTGTTTCGCCGTGAGTCCATCCCTGCCAACTTGTTGCTTCCCGTAAACACTCTCCAACCCTAGAGCTCGATTCTTCGGTCGGAATTGGGGGAATGTGGTGTCATATGTCACATCGTCTGGAAGGTCCGGAAGGTCTGTAGCTCGTCAGAAATAAGCTTTTGGGGTTGCATCTTTAGTTATTCTTAGCGTACCTATAGGCTTTGGCGGCATGTATTCAATATCCGGTACATCATCCGCAGCCACGTCAATATGGACTTTGGTTTGAGCTTGCTGTGTCACTGGAGCAGCTTTTCTGATCTTCTGGGCAGTCGACAGTCTGCGGTTTGTCTTCTGTTGCTTGGTGGTTCCTCCAAAGGGCGCAGGCGTCTGGAGGTTGTTGGCTTTGAGGTTGGTCGTTTTCATGCCCAGAGGAGCGCGATCCTTCACTATAAGCCGGGGGAGAAAAAACAAGTCAGTTATTGTCCAACGGTCATCTCCAAATCTCTAATTTTCGCGAAGCACGCGTACCCATCGGAGTCATAAACGCGTTGTTTCCCGGTTTTCCATTCTCCTGACGATTCCCATTGCCCTTCACGGTGCGATTTCCGAACGCTAACGGGTTATTCTCGTCATTTCGTGGCTTGCCGGGTGTCTTGGGTGCTAGCTGCTTGCTTTGGTTCAAAGGCTTAGCTGCCGCGGCGGTCTGGTGGGTGTTTACCAGGTTTTCCTGGTCGCGAAGAGCCAACATAGTGGCGAACTGAAGCTGATGGTTCTCATGCACTGTATCAAAGAAATTAAAGTCGCGTTATCAGGTTGAGAGTGATAAAGAGCCAGAACGAGTTCTAGATGCAGGTGTTGTCGAGTGGTTGCCCGTGGAGACGCGGCGATCCTTGGGCGGTGATTGGCGTAGAGCAAGAGCGGATTGTGTACCTAACCATACCAAGGTTACGCAGTTGGTACACAGTAAGTATACGGTACTTCCCCTGTAGTGGAGCTAGTGCTTGCTGTCCTGGTACTGTCTACTTGTTCACTAGTCAGCCATTATTCCTCCCCTTCTCTCCCAAAACTCTCCCCATATCATCTTCCACATCCCCATCCAACATTCGCCCGGTTTCTCGCTGAGCGAAAGCCTTACACTACTCTTTCTTTCAACCATACATATTATCTCCTTTACTCCCTTTTCAATACCTTTAAAATGGACAAGATCAAGGAGGTAAGTCACCAAGACCCCTACCCGGCGGGGTAGCTTGACTGCTTCCCAAAATCACACAGCCCCTCGTCATATGCATATATGCATACCGCCCCAGCATTCCATCACTTCCCCACTGGGAATTTTGTTAACACCGTTGGTATTAATTTTAGCGCATGGTCTCCCTCCGCGCCGAGGCTGATGAGGCTCACGAGCTCGTCGATGAGCTCAAGGCCAAGGTCAAGACGTTGGAACAGGAGAATCTGTCCAAGGAACAAGAGATCACATCGCTCAACCACCGTAACCAGCTTCTAGAGGAAGAGGTTGAGAAGGCAGAGACCGCCCTCAAGGAGGCTAAGGACGCTGCCAGCCAGAGCCTCCAGCACGACACTCAGAACGAGGCCCTTCAGCGACGGGTGCAGCTCCTCGAGGAGGAGGCTGAGGAGAATGATAAGACTCTGCGGGAAACAAACGAGAAGTACGATTACCTACCATTTCTTTCACAGCTAAGTACTGACATTTCGGGCACTCAGGCTCCGCCAAACCGACATCAAGGCTGGTCACTACGAGCGGAAGGTGCAGGCACTCGAGGACCAACACGCTAAGCTGGAGCAAAGATATGAGGATGCGATCAAGGAACACAGCACTGTGAAGAAGGAGCTTGACGACCTTGCATCCCAGATGGCCGACATCTAAGCTGGCCCAAACCGGTGATGGGTGCAGGATATCGGGAAACATTTGGTTGAATTCAAGCTTCATTCTCTGGTTTGTCGTCTGCTTTTTCATGCTGTAATTGTTTGTGTTACGGTGGTCTCAACTATATGGGCCACATACAGCGCTTTTGATAGCAATAACTTTTTATCATGCAACGCGTGCACTACGGTGTCTACCATTTCCTGCATCTTCATTGCATTTTTTGTAATGTCAGACGCCTGTGATCCGTAAAATTGACTAACGAATAATTGCTTGAAGCCGAGTATATGCACATGTGATGTCGTATCTCTTTCAAGATGTAGTTTCTTCATTCCTCTGCACCCTTTCGCGCTTTTGCCCTCTTCGCTTTCACGGACCGTTGCTTTAACATTGTTTGTCTGCGCTCAACCTTGGTCTCGTAGCGGAAGTTCCTCTTCTTTTTTCTGGCTGCTTCTGAGGCTGCACTCCGGGGCTTTCTCTTCTTGGCTTTTGCATCAGTCTCCGTCGACTCGGCCGGATATTTTTTCTCTTCTTGATTCTCTGATTCCTCTCCCTTGGCAGCCTTGAGCAGACCCTCACGGGATGCATCCATTTCTTCAACCGTGACTGTTGTGTATTTGTCCTCGTCGACATATTCGGCTTCGTAGTCCACTGCTGGAGGCTCTTCGATTCCCTCCCAATCTTCCTCCTCTTGCTCGCCCTCCATTCCGCCTATATCTCCAGCATCCTCCTTCATGCGCTTGAGTACCGCTTTGTGCTCCGCCATTGCCTGTTCGAAGTCCTTTTTGCGATCCTCCCGAATCTAGAAGAATTAGTAGATGTCTTTGCGCACGAATTGAAGCCTGCCGCACCTTTTTTCTTGCGTCTCTCTTCTCCTCTTTGTATCTCTTGACGGCATTGTCTTGCGCATGCTTAGCGCGTTGCACCTTGCGTTTGTGAAACCCAGTCAGCCATTCCTGGCGGGACTCGCTGTCGAAATTGACCTCTTCGACTTTAGGCCCAGCAACAATTTTGCGCTTTTTCAAATCCTTAGGACCCATGATGAATGAAAATCCCAACCTCGAGTATATCTGAATCAAATAACAAGTAGACCTTTGTATATCGTAGGTTGTGTTGAAACTGCGGCAAAAGCCAAGAAAAAAAAAGTTGATATGGAAAGCTCAGGCGGGTCGGGGCTCTCGACCGCCTCCGAGAGCCAAGTCGGACACCTCCCGTTGGCAACATCATCGCCAACCCGACCCCATCCCCACGATAAACACAATGCATTTCAGCAGGTTCGGGCTATTGGCCCTTGGGGCTGCTGCCGTAAATGCTTTCAGAGATACTTCGCCATTCTTCCTTGCCTCAACTTCTGAGTATGCTTGATTGAAACTCTCCCGCTGCGGTTAACTAATCGCTCCTCCCTTAGGGTCTTGACGAACTCCGCCTACATCCAGACAGGAGCTTCGGTCCTCGAGGATCTTTCCTCATCTCTTGGCACCTGTCCCTCAGATTACTATGTTGTCGTCTACCAACCTGGTGTGCACAGTTCCGACTTCTCGACGCGGAAGTCGGCACCCCGCTTGGGTGCGAAGATGCTTGGAAAGGACAGCTCGATCCGGTCCAAGATGAGCATCAACGAGGTCACTGGCTTGGTGGAACCCAAGGAGATCAAAAATCTTTTGGAGAAGAAGTGCAACGCCCAGACTACCGCCGTCGACGCTTCCTGTAAGTTGCTTTGGTGGCCAACGACAGCCGTGGCAAACCCGCGAAGAACATCAAAGCTAACAATGTGAAGCCGGATCATACCCCTCATACTTTGAGCAGGGCCCCCGAATTATTGATGTCGAATTCCCCATGCTATCGCTGGGCTCGGATCGCGCACAGCAACTTTCTGGATTCGGTATGTATGCCGCGCACCTACGCACTTCATTGTTACTGACTCTATTAGATGGTTTCCTTGCCGATGTCATTGATCGGCTTCCTTCCTCATCCACGTATACTATTCTCTACATCACCTCCCCTAGAGAGTTCCCCGAGACGGATTCCGTTATCTACGAAGCCTCTGGAGATTCGTACCAAGACTCGCTCCACATGGAGCTAAAGCGGGATTACTCCGCGCATGGTAGTGCCTCGAGCTCATCAAAAAATTCCACCTCACTCTTTGAAGAGTATCAATACTTTACTCCAGGTATGTATCTACCAATACCACCTCTGTATTCGCTATACTCACCCTTTCCAGGTATTTTCATGGGACTCATGGCTACCTTCCTGTTCCTTGCGATTTTGTATATTGGTATCAATGCCCTGGGCAGCCTCGAGATTCCCTATGCCGCATTTGAGAAGGACACCTCGGCTGCTGTGCAAAAGAAAGCGCAGTGATTTGCAGCGCTTTGTTGGATTGTTTTTGGAATACACCTCCATTGCTGCAATTGATTCTCTTTTTTCGTTGGGGGTTCAGGGACAATTATCTCGTATCCCCATGTATGATATCTCATATTCTCCCAGTTTTTCGAATGTTAGATTTGCCAACGTAAATGTGCAAAGTCCTAGTATCTTTTTTTGGAAGCTGTCAGGTGATGGTCTCAGTTTTGCCTAAGGCACCCCTCTTTCTTAGCGTTGGCGTCTTTTGGTTTCTTCTAATTCTCGGTTAAGGAGGCCTTGTCTTGTGGTCATCTTCAGAAACTCGTTGGCCTCATTTGGACGGCAGTCATTCGTTTATGAGAGTTTTTCAAGCCCTCACCTCATGGAAACTCGTTGATTGTGGATCCGTACCCTGCAGCCTAAGTTCAGCATCCGTCAAGTTTTCACAAGAGACAAGTGGCAGTCATCTTTGAAATCAGCAGATATCTTACCCCTGACACCCAGATTTCATTGATGAGCTGACCAGGATCGATAATCTTCTTTGTTCCTCGCTGTCGCTGGGATCTGGGATCGGCGCCTACTCCAAGTGACCCCCACACTGTGGAGAAGCAGCTGATCAATTGTTTACGCCGCCATGCGAGTTCTACCGCAAGGGCTTGGGAAAACCAAGCCGTCATTCCTCCTGCTACTATTTCTGGTCATTGCTATCGCTGCTCAAGTGTCTGCTGTACCGGCGGACGATGCAACAACGGATACCGATGCCGCTAAGACCACCGACGATCCCTCCACCACTCAGAGCACCTCTAGCGCGAGCGAGACCACCACATCTTCCACTTCCACATCGAAGTCAAGTTCTACTACCAGCACCTCCTCTTCCTCTTCCTCTACAAGCACAACCATGGATACAACCACCACATCCTCCTCCTCTTCCTCCTCCACGACGTCCGACAGCAGTACAACAACATCATCCGTCTCCACGACAACGGAATCATCAACATCTTCCTCCTCGTCCTCCTCGTCCTCCTCAACCACAACTACCGGCGCTATTGTGACGATACCACCAACAGCCAACGCCCCATATATGCAAGAGAGCAATGCTCCAGAAGGCACAGTGTTCATCGCCGTCGGCGCCGCGCTAGGCCTGATCGGCCTAACTCTGCTCGCATGGCGCGCAATGGTCGCATGGTCCGTAAACCGCTCAGTACGACGCGCCGCCGTAATACACGCCTCTGAATCCAAGCGCCTCCTACGCGGCAGCAGAAAGAAGCGGTCAACCCCCTATTCTGCCGCCCCGGCAGCCGACGTATCTCTCCATAAACTCGGCGCCGCCACTCGCACAAGCTACAAGCCCCACCGGGTCCCGAGTGCAAGCAGCGGCCTTTTTTTTCGCCTACCGCAGGCGGTCCTACTGGATCGCATCCCAATATCAACGCTACCGGAAATGCGGGAAATCGTGGCTCGACATACCTGCCTGCTGGATACTACGCTGCTGCAGGTAGCTCTAACCCCGCTCCGGGTGGAGAGCCCCCATACTCGCCCACTGCTGGTCTCTCGTCGCCTTCCCTGCCTCCTGCTGGTGTTTATCATGATTCGCATAATCAGCGCCACTCTTATGTGGGTGGGTCGACGAGTTCTTTGAACCTAAACCAAGCGCCGCAGGGTCGTGCTCCTAGTGCGTACCTTGAGGATTTGTTTGAGAGCCATGCTCCTCACAGCTCTGATTCGGGCCGTCGGTAGCGCCTTTGATTTCGGGCTCTCGGTTGGTCATCATATGAAGGAATGATATTGGCGAACTGTTTTTTTTTCTTTTCTTTTTTGAATCTATCTTGAGATTTGCTCTCTTTTTCCTCTGCCTTCTGCTATAGATCTATTCTCTTGTCCATTTTCATTTGGGGTCTGTTTCAACTCGGCGTTTCATAAACCCTTTCACATGAGGCGTCTGCTTCTCCAATTTTCTCTGCGCATTATTAACTATTACTCCCCTGTCAATACAAACTAGTTTACTCGTAAAGTAAATATGGATAACTAAACCCTACTAGTGTTTTGCTACTCTTGGAGCCAATATCCATTCCATTACATGTGGGAAACGATTGATCAAAATTTTAGTTTAATTGAGATCTAAATCATCAAATATCGACAAGACCAACCGAAAAGGACAAAGGAAAAGGAAAAAAGCGCAAAAGAAGTCACCAAGCCGATTCATATCGACAAAACACACCCTCTAAAACCAAGAATATGTGCTTGAACCGTGGGACGGGGTATTGGGTATTTACGATTCAAAAGAAAGCGAACTAGTCAACGCGCTTGTACAGCTTGGCCTTGGAGCCAGCAGACGAAGCTCCGGCACAACAAGCAGCAGGCTCCTCCTCGGGATGGAGTGAAGATTTGTTGAACAACTGGGAGGATTGCGGAACGTCAAGAGCCGGGTTCTTGTTGAAGAATCCATCGGGCTTCAGCATGACGCTGATACGTTCCATCGGCATGACAGGGAAGTCCTCAATGCGAGGGTTATGGGTAAGACCGAAGGCTGCAGGGGTTTGTTAGTTATATAGTACAAATAAAATCACGGGGAGGAATGCTTACTGTGCCAAAGGACGACGTCTTCGTTCTCTGTGTTCTCCTTACGCTGCACCCAAGTCTCGACGCCCTCAGCGCGGCGGCTTTGGTTGGTGAACTCGCCTGCAGCGTACAGCTCATCGTCCTGGTACTTGGTGACCCAGATCGGCTTGGTGGCAAACTCAGCACGGCGGAAGCCGTGGGCATTCTTACTGACCAGGAGCATTTGGCTAGGAGCAGCCATAAGCTTGTATGCAACAGGCTTGTAGGTGATTGGATTGGTAATGTTGTCGTTGCGGATCTTGAACACGCGGTGGCGATCCACGCTGGTGTTCGCTGTGCCTGCCGTGCGCATCACCGTAGACTCGGAGGTATAGCCCACTAGGTAGGGGTTCTTCTCGTCTTCTGGCATAGGAACGCTGTCCTCGTAGTAGATGGTGTTCTTAAATCCATCAATAGCAGGGTCAATCCGCAGGGAGAACATATGCTGGTGGAAGGGAGCCATAACACCAGGACCGACATTGGTACCCCAAGGGACGGTTTCGCCATTCTCGTTGTCGAATGGGACGGTGGAAAGAATGCCGGTAGCCCGGACTTCCAGTTCGACATTGGCAGCTTGATCAAAGATGTAGTTGAAGATGTACTCATAGTTGGCTACAGTGCAGATCATCTGCAGAACCAACTGGCGGTTGCGCACAACGGTAGCAGCACCGGACCGATAGTTGGTGTGCTTATGCTGCAAACCGTTATCTTGTTCGTGCATGCAAATCACGTTCTTCAGCTGCAGTGGGTTGCCTTTGGAGTCGTTGCGGTAGCCATCAAAATACTTGATATGGCCGAGACAGTCACATCCAAGAGCCAACTGATTGGCATTCATACCAAAACCAGTATCGCCAACATCAAACGCCTGCTTGCGGTGGTAGGGGGCTCGGGGGTCTAGATTCATGTTAGTTAGATCCGCTGGGAGTTAGGTGTGATATAGGCTCCAGTCCCACTTACCTCCATAGGGAACAGTCATCTCAGAAACAGCCAAACGATAGAAGAGGTTTCTGTTGTCATATGTAACGTTGTAGATAATCAGGCCTTCGCGGGCGTTAAAACCGACCCTGAAGCGCCACTTCTGCCAGTAGACGGAGTTGCCATCCACCGAAAAAGAAGGACCCTCGGGCTGTTGCACAATGTAGGGCTTGAGATCGGTGCGAAGGGGCTCATCCAAGAGGTCGTGGGCGTACTGGACTGTCTTGACAGGCTTCCAAGGCTGGGTAGTGGTAGTCTCGAAATCAGCACCACCGGGCAGGTAGTCCATACGGATCAACTCATGAGTGAAAGCGTCGAAGACCGGAGAGAATTTGCAAGGTAGAGAGTAGTGATTGTTCTGGGGGTGATCCACTTCGACCATGTACATGAAGCATTGGAAGAGCCGTCGATCCTCATTGTCACTATCTGTGCCATACATCCAAGGGTCGTTGCAGACAGTAATGCCTGCGGGTAGTTGCAATTTCTCGATCTCGGCCAGTACGGCGGGGTGCTTCATGCACATCACTTCGATTCCAGCAATTTCATCGATATCAATGGGACCCTATAAGATAACAGAAGAATTGGTTAACCCATTGCTTGCTTTCGGGAAGAGGGCTCTGCTTACCTGAACCTCCTTGGGAAGCTCCTTGGCATAGACAATGGTGCGCTTGTCGGCATTGAGGATAGCCTTGTAAAATGCGCCAGTGTCTAGACGGTGGAACAGCACGTAGAGGAGACGAGCCGGGGGTGGGGGCAGCGGGCGCCGTAGACGCTCTGCTTCTATATATGCGATAACATCCTTCTTGATGGGCTCATTGACATCAATGCGCTTGTAGCGCAGAGAGACGCCCGGGAAGGTCGCCTCGAGGATGCGTACGGCGAGTTTGATCTCCTCCGGTGTGATTGGGTCAAATGGGTGCGGGCTGTGGTTGGTCACCATTTTGGCAGTGTTGGGGTACACTTCTGGGGTAAAGATATGAGGCGGCCGCGAGAGGTATTAGAGAGGAAATAAGACGAAGCCACGGATGAGTGAGAAGAGACAAGAGAAAAAGGCAGGTAAAGAAGTATTGAATGAGAGAATTGGAACCAATGCCTGCACTTAAATATCTCATCGCAATCGGGGGCCTGGGATCTTATCGGGTTACATAAGGTCTGGCTGGACTTGCCTAATTGGGAAAGAAACCAGGGTAGTTGGAGAAGCGGAGTCTTGGCTCTGAGAGATTAGGGCAACATGGATTGAACATGGATATACGAGGCAAAACATATAATGAAAAAGACTCCCTCATATTGCTCAAAATACTTTTACTAGATTTATCTCAATTATCTAAACAAATATTCTCTGTTCACGTCGAGATAGAATGAAAGGAGACCATTTAAAGTGTAAAGTCACATGACCTTTAACCCACAATTGGCATTTCACGTGAGTGTGGGGTCGGCGTGAGATTGTCCTAATTTGGTTTAGTGGATTCTGCTATCGATAACATCTTCGAGGAAATCGAGCGGATTACCTATCGCCCGCTGCTGCAGCGCATGTTTGTCTGAATTTGTCCAATATTTGCGATAAGCATGCCGTCACTTGTACCTGTTAGAGCATCTCCATACCACCCAGGCCCTCCTTGACACTATGAATGCCTTTCCTCTGAATGGCTCCGCGCAGTCGTCTTCCTTCCCACCGGGCCAGCCCACTTCCGCCCCGAAGAAGGGTAGGACACGGCGATCTGGCACGGCATGGACTCGCTCAGGATGCATAACCTGCAAAAAAAGACGCAAGGCCTGTGATAAGACTAAACCAAGGTGTGTGCTAGAATTTGACTTTGAATTTCATAACTAATTTGCTTAGTTGCAACAATTGTCTCAAGCAAGGCCGCACATGCGAAGGTTATGGCTCTATATGGGTAGAGCCACTAAGTCCATCGGCGCAGGTATTCTCACAGACGGAAACTTCAAAGCGCCGACGACTCAGTGCATCCCCGCCGTCTCAATTTCCTTCGCCTGAGCCGTCCCCGCCCTCAGATGCATGGCTCGAGACTTGTTTATCTCCTGGGCCGGGGACTTCCTTGGGCTGGTCTATTCCATCTTCTCCATGGGAATATGTATCACTTGAGGCAGCTATCAGTCCGGCCCAGCATGCAGAGGAATACAGTCCTGGTCCGGATATTGATTTGCATAGTTCTGTTGCGTTGATTCCACAGCCTCAGGGATATATCAGTCATCTCTCAACGCACGAGACTCATTATCTCCAATACCACATGGAGCAGGGATCTCGACTGCTAGCAAATCTAGAGAGTCATGATAATCCCCTTCGGTCGATGTTGATTCCCAGGGCGATGTCATCACCTCTGCTGATGAAGGCCGTATGTGCCGTCTCTGCTCTTCATCTAGCAAATCGCTCCCACGGCTTTGGGGCACGTACGGCTGCAGTGAAATACTATAGTGGAACGCTCAACGGACTCCGCACAGCACTAGATAAGTGTTCAACGGAGGTGTTCCCCGATGATGCCATGCTAGCAGTCGGTCTACTATGCAAGTACGAGATCGTGCGGGGAAGCGTTAAGCAGTGGGTTGTTCATCTCAATGCATTGCAACGTCTGATCGTTTCACGCGGTGGATTTGCTTCAATGGATCGAGATGCAGCCGAGTTCCTGCGTGGACTGTATGTGTGACAACCTGCAATGTACATTTCCGAGCGCTAACATAGTATATCAACGTCTAGATTCGTGTATGCTTATCACATGGCCCGGATCAGCAACCACAACTGTATCACCTCTACGGATATTTCTGTCGACAGTGATATCGGTATCCCAAAATTGGACATATATATTGGATACACAGAGGAACTCCTCAAATTATGTGCACGCATCGCAGAGCTACCTTCCCTCCAAGGTGATACGTCGGCTCTTCGACTCGGTGTTGCATCCATGTTTGTCTCTCTCTGTGATCACGAAATATGATCACGAAAAACAATCTATTCGATCCGTACTAACACCCCATCTTAGAAACGAATCCCTCCTCAATTGGTCTCACACTGCAGCCCCCTTCATAATTTCCCAAGGGACATCACCAGCGACCCTAACTCGGCTTCAGCTCGTAGCTGAATGTTTCCGCGACGCGGGATTTATCTATCTCCACTCAATCATGGAGCGCATCAGCAGAACCTCAGAAATCTCTCCCGCCGCCAGCCCTGGTACCATTGTCAACACCCAGCTAAAGGAGAACCCATCTCTCTCAGCACACGACTGGGTTCCTCTCATCTCCACGCCGAAAAATGTCGCCGTCTACCGCTGTCTTGGCCGCATTGAAACTTTGCCGCTAGGCGATCACTGCGAGTACTCGGCGCTCACGTTCCCGCTCTTTATATCCGGGTGTGAGAGTGATGACGTAGCGGACAGAGAGGTTGTGCTTCGTTCTTTGGGCAAGCTACAGGATAACTTTGGGATTGGGAATGTTAGGCGTGCAAAGGAGCTATTGGGGATCTTGTGGGCAAGACAAGATAGTAATTTTGATGCTCGGTTTAGTGGGATGGGTCGGCAGAGAAATGTGCATTGGTTAGATATTGTTGAGGAGCTGGGATGGGAATTGATTCTTGCCTAGGTAGTCTACACTAGTAGCTTGTATTGTTGTTTCGTTGTATTTATATTTATTATATAAGGGATAGAGGGTTTTATGTTCGGATGAATGGAAAATGCGAGGAATTATATACAACCTTGGCAAATATATACATATATATATATATATATATATGTGGTGTTTTCCAAGATGTGCTTTACACATATATACATGATATATCTAGAATTACCCGGGGTTCAACTAACCTTGCTACACCTATAGTCTGAGAATTGAGAATGTGCTTTAGTAGTGTGTACCTTTTGTACCTTTTGTATCGAACTGAAGTACAAAAGATTCCCGACGGTTCGGTTATATCCGGCCCCACCTGAGTGCGTGGATACCAACCCTGTGAATCCTGTGTCCGTTGGCACAATCAATGCGCGGATAGCCTCCGACTATAACTAACGTAAAGGGTAAATGCAATCTACTTACATTTTTCCTTTTACCCTAGTGATTTTTTAGGGCTATATCGAAATCTTTGAGGCTGAAATGTTATGGTTTTTTTTTCAAAATTTTTTAAATTTTCAAAATTTTATATTGCTGGCGTTGACTTAAGACTCGAGATAGATAAATGTCCTCGCTTAGAAAAGTCCCTTGGAAAGTCCCCACTATGACCCAGCAAATCGCCACAGATAGTTATTGTGACAGGTTGGAGGGTGATGGCGTGCTAGACTATCGATATTAACGGCCAACTCCACAGCTTCTACTTAAGCGGCGGATCTCTCTAGGCTCTTCTGCGGATTTACACACTTGGAGGATATCTCACCATTCCTGTCAAGATGACAGCTCCAACATCTGAAGAGACCGCCCCGACCAGACTCGACGAAAAAACCCCCCATGTTCAGTCTACAACAGGCGATGGAGGCGATGGAGCACTGAAATTACTGGAAGCCGGTTCGCCGAGCGTGCTCGATCCAGTGGCATCTAAACGACTTTTGCGCAAAATCGATATTTATATCATGCCACTGATTTGCATCGTATACTTCCTACAGTATCTGGACAAAATCGCCATCAGTTATGCCAGTGTCACCGGAATGCGCGAGTCAGCGAACCTCATGGGCAACCAATTCAACTGGGTGTCGAGTATCTTCTTTTTCGGCCAGCTGGCGTTCGCATTCCCTACAATGCGCGTCATGCAAGCATTCCCCCTGGCCAAATATGTCGCCGTCAACGTGACAGTTTGGGGCACCATCCTGGCCTGCATGTCCGCATGCAAGTCATTTGCCTCCCTGATGGTCTGCCGCACACTTCTGGGTGCCGCAGAAGCCTCTATCGTGCCCGCCTGGGTCATCTTCACCTCGCAGTGGTACCGGAAGGATGAACAGGCTTTCCGTGTCGGCGTGTGGTTCGGCATGTGTGGATTTGCGCAGATGTTCGGCGGATACGTCGCATATGGTATCGCAACTCACATTGGTGGGGACCCAAGTGCCGCCCTGCGAGGTTGGCAGGTTATTTTCCTGATTCTAGGCCTGCTAACCGTGGTGACCGGCATCCTCTTCTTCTTCCTCCTGCCTGATTCCCCTCTGACGGCAAGGTTTTTGTCCCCGGAAGAAAAAGCAATGCACGCAGAACGTCTTCGGGGTAACGGACAGGGTATCGGAAGCAATGTCTTCAAAAAGTCACAGGTTTACGAAGCGCTTACCGACCCGCACACCTGGCTCTACGCCTTCTGGGTCCTGGCGGCAAATGTACCAAACTCCATTGCCACGAGTTTTGGAAACATCATGGTAACGGGAATGGGCTTCTCGAAAACGGAGAGTCTTCTGCTTGTGACACCTATGGGTGCTTATGAGGTGGTTGCACTGATCGGCCTGACCTATCTGGCAATGAAGACACAGCGACGACTCTTCTGGTGCATCGCCGGCCATATCCTGGCAATCGTGGGTGCGATTTTAATGGCAACAACTGACAAGGTTCCGGCCCTTATTGGATACTACCTCACTGGAGGCATTCCAATCGGATGGACGACAATTCTTGGACTCACCAGTACCAATGTAGCTGGCTCAACCAAGAAGATCACCGTGTCCTGCATCCAGACGATCGCCTACACTGTCGGCAACATCATCTCACCACAGACCTTCCAAGCCAAAGACGCTCCGGGGTACTTGCCGGCCAAGATCTCTATCTGCATTCTGTATGTCATCATCACGTTAGATCTGTGCCTTATCTGGTGGATATCACAACGTGAGAATCGCCGACGTGACCGGGAGAAGGAGGCATTGGGTGATGCGTACGTCGTTCCAGAGAACCATGAATTTTTGGACCTTACAGATCGAGAGAATCCGGAATTCCGTTATGCGATATGAATATGGGAGTGTGCCCTTGAGTTGCGAATTTGCACCAGGCCCGGGACACATTGGTTTTTAATATTAATATTAATATTAGACAAAATGCACATATTCTGCATTAATCATACAAGAATAAAAAGAGCGTGTTAGAATATTTAGCATAGGATAATTACCACCCACTGTCTACACACTGGCCGCGCGTACCAGTCTGTCACGAATGCTTCCACCTACTATGTTATGCCAGAGGAAGTGTACCTCTAGGAGTTGCCGATTCGTAGAAAAATCCACAGATTATCATAACTAGCTTAGGGCGCATCAATGCTTATATCAGCTATACTTAATTATAGATCTTCTGTTTCTACTTCTTTCTGTCTTCCTGAATAGATTATTTGTATGAATGATACCTACATCTACCTATCCAAGATAGCAAGATCATGTAATATATACGTTATGCGTTCTTAATAGGATCACTAGTATACGTAGTCGCCAAGACTTAGGGATCTAGGTAGCCTTGGCCCCAGAGCCGCTTTATCTACGAAGTACGGAGTAATATAGGCATGTCGATTTTCATGAGACTAGAGCCCTAAACATCCCTGTAGCTACAAGTCATCATTGCGTGCTTGGTATATTTCCGACTGCCTGGAGCCCCCTTTTGTAGTTATGAAATGTAGCTGCCTTTTTCTCTTTTTGTATATAACTTGTTGTAACCTCCCTCAGGCTATCAAAAAATTTATAGGAACCAGATCTTTCTGTATGTCCAATCTTATTTCATCTCTTGACTGGCCCCATGGCCAGTCTGTCCAGGCCGGAGCAGCCGGTCTTTTCTTGGCCGCTGCCATTGTTCGAGTCGCCCACCTCAAGCACCAATCTATCAAAGTTAATCCATCCCGATTACGAAGATGGAAGCTCATCGTCCTTACCATTTTGGTAACTTTGCGCCTGGCTGTTTTGATTCTATGGACATTGAAGCCCTGGAGTATTGCCGCTCCGGTCGCAGGGTCCGAATTCGTGGCTGGAATTGCTCTGCTGGTTCTGTCAGCCTATGAACATGATCGATCAGTCGCGCCTTCAAATCTCATTGCCCTCTATTTTGGGGTGACCCTTCCTCTGGACATCTCGCAGACTAGGACGCTGCTGCCTCTCGACAAACCATCGAGTGCCCTGGCCTTGGAGACAACGATAGACCCCATTCCAACAATTTCCATCATCCTTGTTGTGGTAAAGTCAATTGCGCTTGTTACTGAAGCCCTACCCAAACAACACCTTTTGCTCGCTAGCCACCGTGATCTTAGTCCTGCCGACACTAGCGGCCCATATAGCAAGATCTTTCTCTGGTGGATTAACCCTCTGCTATGGCGCGGCTTTTTCAACACTCTCACACTGGGAGATCTTTATTCTCTAGATTCAGCCTTGTCATCCCGGCACCTCGAAGTCAAGTTCCGGGGAGAATGGGAGCAACAACGCAACGCGGGTTCAAACGGACTACTGCGAGTGGTTTTATCAGTCCTTAAATGGCAAATCCTGGCCTCAGGTGTACCACAGCTACTTTTGATCGGCGTCAAGTTCCTCCAGCCACAATTGATTAGGAATACCACTGATTTTGTGAACAACCCAACCAGTTATCAGGGTGGTTCTGGTTGGCGTCTGGCCAGTACATATGCTCTTGTATATATCAGTATCGCGGTCCTTCGTGCAATCTCCACACATCAGATAAACCGATTCATTGTCAACATTCGAGGCGGACTAGTATCGTTGATCTACCAAAAAAGTGTGGATTTAAGTATCACCGAACTGGAAGAGAAGGCTGCGCTAACCCTTATTTCCGCCGATGTTGAGCGAATCACGGTGGCTTTCGGCACCTTGCATGGTACCTCTGCAGCAACTATCGAGGTGGTGATCGCTTTATACCTTCTTTACACTCAGTTAGGCCCTGGTTTCATTGCCCCTGGGTTTTTCTTCGGCTGTGCAGTCATCGCCTTGGCTGTCTGCACACGATTATTTCCTAAATATCAGGCCACATGGATCGACGCCATTCAAACTCGTACCTCTTCTACTGCAGTCATGCTAGGCGCAATCAGGAATATCAAGCTTCTGGGGCTATCTTCCGTTGTTGGTGGTCTGGTGCAGGGCTTGCGGGTACAGGAAAACCACATCGCACGCAAGGTCCGTTGGCTGATTGTTGTCCAAGTGGTCTTTCAAAATGTCACGAGCATCGCTGCGCCGGTTTCCACATTTGCGATCTACATCCTCCAGGAACGGTACACAGGACAGCGATTGGACATTCCTACCGCATTTGCTATCCTCTCGATTCTTCAGCTCCTGGAGCCACCGCTGATGATGCTGGTCCAAACAGTCCCTGAGCTAGTGGCCTCTCTCGGATGCTTCGGTCGGATCCAGGGATTCCTTCTATCTCCTTCACGACAAGAGCGTCGAATTTTGCAATCAGAGGCCCCCGGGCTGGTCGATGAGAATTTGATGGGTCAGAGAACGGATGATATCCTGGTTCTTCAAAATTCCTCTTTTGGATGGGCGGACGAAAGCCCGGTGCTTAAAAATCTTGATCTCCGAGTCAAACGAGGCTCCCTGGTTATGGTAGTTGGCCCAACGGGTTGTGGGAAGAGTACCCTGCTGAAGGGTATACTTGGTGAGACTCCCTTATCGTCTGGGACCGTTCGGCTGTCCACCCCTTCAGTTGGA